TGTTAAGCTCCAGGATGAGTTTTAATAATGTGGCTAATGTGCAGCTATCAACATATTTGTCACTTGATGAGTCGTTAAAGCATCCACTACTGCACGAATGCCGTCTTTGTGGGGAATATTAGTATAAAATGACGCAACATCTAATGTTACCAGAAATGAGTCAGCAGGTATATTGAGGTCGATGATGTCAGCGAGGAAATGAGAAGTGTCCTTCAAATAGGATGGACAAGTTGGAGGTAGTATACTAATCAGGCCATCGACATAGCTTGAAAGTAGTTCGGTGACAGTGCCAATGCCTGACACTATAGGACGACCGGGGTTATATATATATATATATATATATATATATATATATATATATATATATATATATATATATATATATATATATATATATATATATATATATATATATATATATATATATATCGTGAGAAGGTAGCGACGGTTAGGAGTTAGAAATAGATGAGGAAGAAGGGAGACTAAACATGGCGTATGAGCCAGGCCACGTCTGCCGATCATCATAGCGTCACACGAGACGACAGGATGGAGACCTGCCAGTCCCTTCATCAGTCGTACATGATCGACAAGGTTCTACGCAACACACCCTGACCATAAATGAACAACCGAACCAGCACCTAGCAGTACACATCGACGAGCATCATGACGGAATCATCGACTGACCTTCCCATCCCCAAGTACACCGGAGCAGCGGACGATGGACCTGTACAGGACTGGTTCGACCTGTTCGAGCTCCACGCTACCGCTCCATCATGGTTGGAACGGGAGATGGTCGCCAAGTTTACCGACTACGTCTCCGGTGAGGCCTTCAAATACTACCTCAGCCTCATATTTCACAACGACGAGTCATGGGAAAAGATAAAACAAGAAATGATCGTTTGGTTTAAAGAATACAATGATGACTACGACGAAGACTTGCATATAACCCACCATCCAGAGACAACCGCACTCGGTCGTCACAGTCAAAAGCAGTCTTCACGCATTGAACCACCTCCTGCTTTTCCATCGCGTGGATCTTCGGTCGCTCACAACGCCCACCTCACGTCTCGCACTTTCAGTATGGTCGGAATAGAGCAGAGGAGCTCGGGGCATAGTCAGTCAAGCCCGGGATACCATTCAGTTTCATGCACTAGAAGAACTCGCATCGTTCGTTGCTTAAAAAGGCAGCCATTCCCAACTAGAATTCTACCAAACCATGCCTGTTCTGGTGTCGCCATTGAGAGAGCATCCATCTGAAAGCCCAAACACAAGAGGCTTGGAAACAACTCTGACAGGTTGTCTGGTGCCAGAAGCTTACGTAATGAATGCTGTTTCAGGCGCCTCTGATGTTCCTTCAGTCAAATATGCCTTAAAAACTTCGCTGCCTGAAAAGCGTTGCAACAGCTACCAACTGAACACTACGTCAAGTTGACAAGAAAAGCATTGTCATATTCCAAAAGGGCTGCCACCTCAACACTTTTCGCAACATCTAGCAAGGCGAGCACAATGAAATCGACCAAGTTGAGCGCCATGTTATTCGACATGGACAACTACAGGCGTCGGAAGAACACGCACGACTTAAAGAAAGACGTTTACAAACGACTCAACCAAAGCGCCATTTTCAAGATGTCTCGCTAAAGACAAAGAAAGCATCGAATCTCATACGTTTTCCCAATGGACGCTGAGTAAGTTTTCTCCAGCAGAGATCAATGCTCAGAGAACATGACATACGTCGACGGAAAAGGCGTAAACCAACATCCTGTATTCCGAAAGGACGCGGAAATCCCCGCAACAACCTCGGTCAACAAACACACAAATGGGTGGCGCCCCGTGTGTACCAATCAATACAAAAATCACGACGCCTACGCAAGTTATGCTGCTGGTGCTCCAAAGCCACCACACCACGTTCATTCCTCGAAATAACACAAGCAGTGTCATCATAAGTTTCCACGCTCAAGGTGCACTTGTGTTTTCCAGAACGCAACAGTCAGCCTCGCCCACCAGAGCTGTACTAACCCCGGATTGCTGCCCTCTCCTGTGAAATATTTGTGCGAATTTTCGGACCTTCAATCTGGTGTGGAAATACAGCCCATTTGGACATTTTTTTGCGTATTCTAAGACTGCTTGTTCATCATGCATTGTAATATGCAACACACGCATTCTTTCGGGGGGAGGGAGAGTCCTGTAACGTAAGAAGGTAGCGACGGTTAGGAGTTAGAAGTATATGAGGAAGAAGGGAGAATAGAATAAACATGGCGTATGAACCAGGCCACGTCTGCTGTTCATCATAGCGTCACACACACTCACACACACACACACTATATATATATATATATATATATATATATATATATATATATATATATATATATATATATATATATATATATATATATATATATATATATATATATATATATATATATCATATACGCCCTGATTCCGCAGACACTGCGGAATCAGGGCGTAGATGAAGTATATATAAACATTCTGGAAGAAATCTACAGGGGATCAACTGCTACCGTAGTGCTTCATAAAGAAAGCAACAGAATACCAATAAAGAAGGGTGGAAGGCAGGGGGACACAATCTCCCCAATGCTATTTACCGCGTGATTACAGGAGGTTTTCAGAAGCCTAGAATGGGAACAGTTAGGGATAAGAGTTAACGGAGAATACCTTAGTGATCTGCGCTTCGCCGATGACATTGCATTGCTGAGTAACTCAGGGGACGAATCGCAACTCATGATTACGGAGTTAGACAACGAGAGCAGAAAGGTGGATCTTAAAATTAATCTGCAGAAAACGAAAGTAATGTACAACAACCTCGGAAAAGAGCAAAGCTTAGATATAGGTAATAGTGCACTTAAAGTTGTAAAAAACTATGTCTACTTAGGGCAGGTAATAACCCCAGAGCCGAATCACGAGATTGAAGTAACTAGAAGAAGAAGAATAAGGTGGAGCACATTCGGCAAACACTCTCAAATTATGACAGGTAGATTGCCACTATCCCTCAAGAGGAATGTATATAACAGCTGTATCTTGCCGGTACTTAGCTACGGAGCAGAAACCTGCAGACTTACAAAAAGGGTTCAGCCTAAATTGAGGTCTACACAGCGAGCAATGGGAAGAAAAATGGTAGGTGTAACCTTAAGAGACAAGAAGAGAGCAGAGTGGATTGGGGGACAAACGGGGGTTAAGGATATCATAGTTGAAATAAAGAAAAAGAAATGGACATGGGCCGGGCATGTAGCGCGTAGACAGGTTAACCGCTGGTCATTAAGAGTAACTAACTGGATTCCCAGAGAAGGGAAGCGGGTTAAGGGGAGACAGAAGGTTAGGTGGGCAGAAGAGGTTAAGAAGTTTGCGGGTATAAATTGGCAGCAGCAAGCACAGGACCGGGTTAACTGGCGGAACATGGGAGAGACCTTTGTCTGCTAATGATATATATATGTATATATATATATACTCATTTACCTGCCCTCCCCCCCTTTTTTTTTTTGAAACGACAGGTTTTTAATAAAGCGCCCATCGAGTACTTAGTGGTTTTTAAAAGAAAGCTTTAGCACACTGCTGAGTTCTAAACTAATTGATGAAAGATATACCTGAACATCAATGTTATATGTCTTTTTTTCGGGAAAGCAAACATGCCCTGACGAGTCGCAAATAAACCTTACGAAAGGAATACAATATTGCCTGCCGAAAGATGTCGCATTACAAGAGACACATATTCGATAATCTTTTACGCTCATACGACAACACGTACGATTGATATGTGTCCACACAAGATTATAAGATTCGAGGCATACTTGTCATACGAGAATTTCTGTAGGGAAGGTATGTCACTTGTTTTGAATTTTTTATATCTAGGAACTGCAGATAAAGTGTGGTCACCATTTCCTGATCCTTATTTAATATTAGTTCACCATCATAAGATAACGCTCCTCCTCAACTACGTGTTCTAGCCACCGAAATAAAAAAATGCAGAGAAAAATATTCGACGAAATTGGCGGTATACTGTAGTAAACTATACCAGGAAAAAATAGGAATATAAAAACACACAACATGACACAATTGGAGAAAAATCTACATCGCAAGAACCCTGCGATTTTCATCGGTGAGACCATACGGAAGCTGCGCAATGAACGTATGAATGGTTGGCGATCATATCGAGTAATTTTGCAGAAGACAAACTCGTTACAGTGTTTTTAACAAAACCCAAAATTTACCGGCACGATTAAGACATTCGAAGGCATGAGAAGCTCACTCTAGGATTAAAATCGAAACATGCGTTGGAAAGAGACTCTTGAAATACTAGAACTGTGGCCTTCTGTTACCTTTAATCTTGTTGGTATAATATTTAGGCAAATTGTAGTCTGTGAGAACCGAGACAGACAACCAGGTCGGTAGAGTTTGCGATTGTCGGTCCTTCCCTTTTTCTTTGTGTGCGCTCGCCAAACTGGGTTTTTGTCTCCTGACTGTCTAACTTATCGATCCTGTCTGTGCTAGATGTTTGAAAAGATACGACGTATACGGCTAAGCAAGCAGTCGGCACGACAGGATACCCAAATCTCTACAGCAGATTCTCCTCCACCGCTTCCCTTTTCATGGCAGGGCTTATATTTTTTTCTTTATCTGTATATGTACGCGATGGGCACGCGGGCAGGAAGCACACGCATTTGCTTATAAAAAAAATCATGATAAAGAATGAGACCTCGCCCTCCTCTTCTCCATTAAGAGCAGGCCCTAGTATACGGTAGGACTAATGCCACTCTACAAAGTGCGTAGTTGAAGTAGAGACAAATTGTCACGTCTTTTTTCGAACTGGAACTCACCAGCAAAAACATTAAGGCGTCAATTATGAGCTTTTTGCACAACGGCTGTAAATATGAGGGGTACGATTCATAAAAATATACACATTGTTGGTGCATACTTCCTACTCTTGCATACTTTGCTCAAATCTTTACCTTCCCAGTTACCCCTTTATACGCAGGGTGCATAGCCTACAGCTTTGTAATAACCACAGAGCAAGTCTGCCTCCGAGGAATGAAGAAACTGTACTCACTTCTAGCGTTACGTGCCACTTGTTGCATCAGTGTTTCGAGCTCCAGGCCGGGATCTTCTTCGTCAAACTTTTGGTGAAACATGTGCCCACCTCCGAGAGCGTTGAAAACGGCGGCCAGGTTAAAGAAGCAATCCGAGTGGCCCTTGGTGCGTTCGCGGAACTCGTGGAACAGGAAGGCGACCACCTGCCAACCGAAGCGACGCAGCGTCTCGATGAAAAGCTGCCCCACCTGAGTGAAAGAGCCGTTCATGCGCGTCAGCAGCCGGTAGTTTGGGTGTTTCATGTCGAAGTTGTCGTTCTGGCCGGAAGACGTGAGCACGGGCAAGTCCCACTCGGCGCTGTAGCGGGCCACCGGCGCCAGCACGTAGGAGCAGGTGGGCCCGAGGAACACGTCCACCTTTCCAGCGATGTAGTGGTCGAACGCCAGTAGTGGACCGTGCGACGACGAACAGTTGGTGTTGTTGTAATTGACGACGAGTGTCAGGTTCCTGCTGTGCTGTAGGTGCTCGACGGCCACCATCACAGCGGGAACGACCTTGTGCAACGAGTACGGAAACATGTCGTCATCCGGCGCGAGAACCAATAGCTCGGGTGGACGGTGCGGCCCTTTGAGTTTGAGCGCCTCTTCCCTCGTTGCTAGCGCAGCTCCAGGAAGCGCGATCTTAGTGTGCTGCAGCACCTCACACAAAACACGGGGGCAAGAAATCGAGATAACAAGAAGCAGCAATGTGCCCGTCATACGGACGGCCACTCCGGCAATCGACGTCATATTCCTTTCGTGAGTTAGCCACAGGTAAAACGCGGCCTAGCCAGGAGTGCTTGCATACGGAGCAGCATGTTTCCAAGTCGGCAAGCGCGCCGCGCGGGACGGCGAATGCTCAGCGGCACCGGAGGCGGCTGTCAGCCGTGGCTGCGGCCCTCAGAGTCCGGGCTGCTTCGAGCATCGAGCAGCGCGTTCATTTTGGGACCCGCCGTGGTGGCGTGGAAAGTGGCGCCACCCCGTGGGTCCCGGATCACTCACGGGAGTCCGGCGTTTTCCAGGTAGGAAGGAGTTCGCTGCGCAGTTTTTGTACGCCGCGTTCTTGTTTCTTTTTTTCTTTTTTCGTAATACTGGAACTTGCCACAAGCGTTTCAGACCTGATACCTACTTTCCCCTTTCTCTCACTTTTTCGTTAGATAATCGGTTCCATTTGTCACCACTGCTACCACATAGCGAAGCTCGACTTCCTCCGAGTTAAGCTTCGTGAACAAGCTGTACGTTTATACAGGCTACCCTGCGTGCTAATTCGTTTCACTGGTGTTTATTTTATCACTTCTACTTCATAATTTTTAAGATGAAACCATGATCTATTACACGTTAGAACATTCTAATGAAAAACACTGTTTTTGCCTATTAACTTTTTCCTTTGTTGCATAACACTACACGCTCAAATCGTTGTGCTCACATGAACTGGTTCTTAAGTTTTTTTTTTTTTTGCACAAGTTACATGTGAGTACTAATGACTCAAGGTACATATATCAGCAGGAAGTGAAGACAACAGGGAATGTCCATATTCAATCATTTATATTCACTTCAATCCTCTATATTCATCCACAATTGCATTTTTGTTTAGCTATCAGCACAAAAGCGATTTAAGGCGCAGTTCTGCAAAACTAAGCAAAAATTGGAGGACCTTTAAGCTTGGCCTTTCGCCCCACCCGCGTGCTCAGATTTGGGTGCACGTTAAAGAACCCCAGGTGGTCGAAATTCCCGGAGCCCTCCACTACGGCGTCTCTCATAATCATATGGTGGTTTTGGAACGTTAAACCCCACATATCAATCATCAAGCTTGGAATTTAATGTTGAGTGCGATATCCTGTTCCTAGTGCATATTTCAACCAGTTAATGTGTACATTTTATTGTATGACGTTCCTCGAGAAGTTCAAAGCTTGAACTACTACAATTTAGTCGATAAAATATAAAGTGCCTTGCGTCCGTGTAGCTTTCGTGTATGGCTGCATTATGTGTAATAGGTGGCCGGCTTTAGACCACGAAGCCGTTATAATAATCACATGTTCTGATGCTTGATGGTAATGTACGCTCGTACCTAAACGTAACTATTCGAAAGCTTAATACCACTTTGACCTATCAAGTGGAACAGAAAGAGGCTATAAATTACTTCACTGAACGAGTGTCATCAGCAGGTGGGAAAAAAAATGTCATTGCTGTCCAATTTAGAAGCCGCTATTACTGAGTGTATACTGCACGCCATGATACCGAGCATAGGGTGATACAGTTACTTTAAGACAAGATCGATCATCTTGAATATCATAGCAGACAGCACAACCTGGTGCTCTACGGCATACTTAATACAACAAGTGTCCGCGAATCTTGGTAACAATATGAATTGCTTCTGAAAGAATTCGGCATACTCGACGAAATTGAGAGTTAACGCCGAAATCATAGAAAAAGCACAGCAGCGTGGGAAATTTCTCAAAGTAATAACGTGTCCCGTGATCGAAGGGTTTAGGTCACTGAATGAAAAGCTGTTCTTTTTTAAGAAACAGCAAGCATTTAAAAGATTCAGGTGTCAGTGTATAGGAAGACTTTTTTGAGACAGCGCGAAAAAGAAGGCGAATTTTGTGGCAGTTTGCTCAGGCAAACAAAGGCAAGGGCACACGTGTGCAACTTAAAAAAGACACCATTTACATAGACGGCATCAAGTACACCTATGAGGATCCTTCAGGCAAGGTTGTTTCGTGTAAGTGACAAACCTCTTATTAACCTCACATTTCTTTTTGATAGTCACCTGTTGGAGCATTGCCCCACCGCGGTGGTCTAGTGGCTAAGGTCCTCGGCTGCAGACCCGCACGTCACGGGATCGAATCCCGGAGGCGGCGGCTGCATTTCCGATGGAGGCGGAAAAGTTGTAAGCCCGTGTACTCAAATTTGGGTGGACGTTAAAGAACCCCAGGTGGTCAAAATTTCCGGAGCCCTCCACAACGGCGTCTCTCATAAGGATATGGTGGTTTTGGGACGTTAAACCCCACATTTGAATCATCACCAACTGTCGGAGGATTAAAAATGACCTTTTCGATAACTTAGCGCGCATGGTCAAACAAAGCGTAATTGAGTCATGGCTCGCTGAAGATGTAGCGAACGCTGAACTATTTCCTGGCAGTTTTACGTGTTATAGAAAGAACAGCATATACCACAGAGGTGGCGTATTTATCTTGGTAGAGCAGCGCCTACCATCTATCCGCTTAAATATTACATATGATGGGAGTGAAGCAGTCTGGTCTCAGCTGAAATTTAAATCACTATCGGTCTGCTCCTTTTACCGGCCGCCAACTGGATCAGCTGAGAAATCGAGTGAAGTCATCGCTACAACTGCAAAAATTGCTTCTGATTATGTCTTTGTGGGTGGGTATTTTCACCTGCCTGATCTCAAATGGAATGTACAGCCTACATAGCTTCCGGAAGTTCCCCGAGTTTCACATTTGAAATATCCAAATTTATGAGCCTGTTTCATTAAGACAGACGGTTTTGAAATCTAATGGAGGAAGTCATATCCTGGATCAGTTTTTTACAAATATGCCAGAAATCGTAGAATATATTAAAATATTTGCAGCGATAAGTGACCACAACGTTCTGCTAAGATAAATAAATTTGAAACATACAAGTGGTTATAATATATAAGTGTTTATATAAGTGTTTATAACCCGTATGCAAGTGTTTACAGTGAGAAGAGTGCAACTATATATGCGAAGCTGGTATATTAGCAAAATCAAAACTTCTATGGAAGCATAGTTCGTCGTTTTTAAAACTCTGGAGTGGTTCTAAGAGAGAAAGGAAGAGAAAAGTGAGCCCCGGAACAGTCTGCATCATGGTGCGACACCTCAACAGTAGCTCACAAGGAATGGGGGTGAGGAGGGATTAAAAGGATAAGATTAAAGGTATATATATAGAGAAAGATGCGCAAACTCAGTGAGTTTTTTTTATTTATTTATTTCAACATTCGGGATGCTGAGGGCCGTGGTCAAAAAGCCTCTAATGGGCTTGACTGGGACCACGACCCCTTACAAATGGGCAGCATAGGCAACACTTCTATTTCAGTGACAATGTACAAAAATTTGAGCAAGCATAAAGCATAAAGTATAATAAGCATAAGCATAATGAAGCATAAGCATAATAAAGCATGAAGATTGAAAAGTAATAAACTCAAAGAAATGACCGTAATTATTTCCTCACACATACGATATCAATAAGAGAGTGTAACGATGCAAGAAAAGAAGATCGCAAGATTAGCACCAAAGTAAAAAAAAAATATGGGGCATGTGCCCATACGCTTACTACACTTACAATCAGAACAGTCACTCAAATGGAAGACGATATGGCATTCAAGTGAAACGGCAGGAGGAAGCGCAGCATTTCTTTGCCGTAGTTAGTGCGCGTGCGCGGGATAAGCCATGTGTGATTGAAACGCGTGTTATAAAGAACTTTGCGGTGGTTTAGGTTGGCAATGGTTCCTAAAAGGTTGTCGCCTTTTAATCCTGCCTGGTAGCGTTTCACAAGCATTGCGCGGTAGTATTCAGGTAGAGGTAGCAGCTTCATGTCGTGAAATATGGGAGTGGTGTGACTGTGATATGGAGCATTTGCAACGGCACGAACAGCCCTTTTCTGTATGACATGCAGTTTGCGGATATTTGTTGGAGTTGTCGTACCCCAAACCAGATGACAGTAGTTGACGTGAGATAAAAACAGGGATTTATAGATGAGAAGTTTAACTGCCTTAGGTAGCGAGAAACGCACCCGGGATAATATGCCCGAAATCCTTGATATAGTGCCACATAGTTTTTCAGTGTGTGCGTTCCAAGACATGTGTTGATCGAAAATTATTCCCGGACACTTAATAGGCTGTACTATCTCAAGTTCTGAACTGCCAAGTTTTAATGGGACACGACAAGGGGTTTGTTTATTTTTCGGCCTGAAATATACAGCTTTTGTTTTTGATGTGTTAAGTTTTAAACAGTTAACGCATGTCCACGTGGCCAACTTCGCCAGTACCTCATTTGCGTCATTAATTAAGTTTGTATAATTTTCAGCAGTAAGAAGCAAGGTTGTATCATCAGTGTATATAATACATTTTACAGACGTGTCAATTTTTACAATATCATTTATGTATATACAAAAAGCAGAGGCCCTAATATGCTACCTTGTGGTACACCCGCTGAAATATTTAGTAAATTGGAGGTACAATTGCCGACGACTACTTCCTGCTGCCGAAACATTAGGTATGATTCAATGAGTTGTAAGAAAACACCTCGAAATCCATAGTGTGCCCATTTTTTAGCAGCGTAATGTGATTTATTGTTAGGACATATAGAGAGGATAGGAGAGATAGGAAAGATGGAAACACGATCACAGGAATTCTAGAACGGGGCCCCACTTGCGAGAGCTCTTGTCGGCGTCAGGAGAAGGCGTAGAGCAAGTCTAGTTGGCCAGAGCTGCGCTGTCGTCGGAGATCGCGAGGGCACAACCGATCGGCACGGAATCCAGCGAGCGTCTTGCGGAGTATAGGTTATAGAAGAGTGTAGAATTCTGTTTTAAGACAAGCATTTCGAGATGTGAAACCATTTTCTTCCATTATGCGTACTGACTAAGAGACGTAATGAAAGTAAGCCTTGATTTAAATAATACCTCGATGTTGAGTCAAGCGTAGGCAAAGAGCCCTTCGAAAAAGAATTGGTGCAAGCTGAAGCTGGTGACGTATGATGTAAATAATGCCA